ATTTCAAAATTCAGCCAGGTGCTTGCTTTTCTGAAAACGTCATCTTTAAGGGGAAAATGTCGCTTTGGATCCCTGTTGCCTAGCGACGGGGCCTTTTGTGTCACTGGTCCTAGAAGGGCAGGACTTACCGGAACACGAGATTTGCTTGAGGAGAGGACACACGTTCAGGAGCAGAAACCAGGCCTGGTGGGACTTGGAGCGTTTGGAGCAGCCAGCCAGCCCTTGGGCTCCTCAGCAAGGAGAAGAGAGGGCACAAGGGGGCCTGAAGGGAGGTCTGTCAGCTTCTTCAACTGAATTTTAGATGCCCGGGCGGCTCAGTGCCTGAATGCCCGGACGGCTCAGTGCCTGGATTCCCGGACGGCTCAGTGCCTGGATGCCCGGGCGGCTCAGTGCCTGGATGCCCGGGTGGCTCAGTGCCTAGATGCCCAGGACGGCTCAGTGCCTGGATGCCCGGGCGGCTCAGTGCCTGGATGCCCGGGTGGCTCAGTGCCTAGATGCCCAGGGCAGCTCAGTGCCTGGATGCCCGGGGCAGTACATTTTGCTGGGTCAGAAGTTCCCAGGAAATAGATTTCTCTGCCAATCAGGAGGAGGGACACAGCTTAGTTACTGTCGGGGACTGTTTGCTGTCGGCCGGCGGTGGGGTCCTATAGGTGCCGATGGGCCATGTGACACCATGCTCTGCCCACTCACCTTAGAGCAACAATGGCTTGGCCTGCTTCCGGGGAGGCCTGCTGGCTGTGACGCTTTCGAAAACGGTGCCGACGTCCTGGACCTATAAAGTGAGTCTCTTGGAGTCTGAGCCCTTTGAGGTTATGATGTGAACGAGCTGTCGTGGGTTCGGTTCTTGAGCTTTGGCTAGTGTGTGTGCATTGTAAGCGTGCGCAACGGAATCCCTCGGAAAACTTAGAACACATGGTCAGACCGGGTGGTGGCTACCTCACCTCTGCTCCCTCCACCTGCACCAGGTGGCCCACCAGGAAAGGGGTGGGAGAGGCGGGGGGTGCAGGCCGTGGCTTCTGGGGGTGGGTCGAGGACGGGGCAGGGGCCTGGGAGTTGCCATCAGTGTGACAGTGAGCCGCTGGGGTTTTGTTAGTGACAGCCCTGCAGCAGCCCAGCCACTGTCAGCTTCCCTTTGCTCAGTGAGGACGGGGCGGCCTTCAGCCGCGTTGGCACAGGCCCTGTGTGGGACGGAGCGGGGAGCGGCCGGCGGGGAGGGGTGGCCAGCGCTCTGGCATGAGTTAGTGGCAGGACTGGGGCAAGTCATGCAGCCCCTTGTTTGTAAGGCAGAGAGAACTGCACCCCAAACTGTTCTGCGGCCCTTTCGGTTCTTTACAAGGAACAAAGCCTCAGGGATGGGAAGAAAGGCTGGGCTCTGCCCCCGTTGGCGTGGGTCTCAGGGTTACTGTTCCGGAGGGAACTGTATCCTGTGGAGACATTCCAGCAGTGCGCCCAGCTCGCTGGGCAGTGACACCGAGCCTCAGCTGGAAACTCCTGCCCGTCTGCCTTCCCAGAGGCTGTGCTGCTCCCGCCCTCCCCAGAGGACACGTGGCCGTGGCCGTGGCCGTGGCCCGTGGTGTGGCCGCACCTGGCTTCCGGAGGCGGGGGCGGGGCTGACGTAGGCCGCTCGCTCAGTCCTGCCTTTTTCCTGGCCTCAGCCGCCTGGGGATGTATTTTCAGGGGGAACGGGCGGCTGTGCCTCTCCGTGGGCTGCCTCCCTGAGGCCGTGTCCCTCTGAGCTGTCACTGTTACTGCAGCGCACTGCCCCTGGCTCCGTGTCCGTCCCTTCCTCTCAGGTGAACACTTGCCTGCCTTCTGTTCCCACAGTGACGTCTGCTGACCACGCACTGGCCCAGGCCGTCCAGCCGTGGTCTCGCCCTGGAAGCAGCTGCGTTGTGTGCTCCGCCCGCCCTCACGCTTCCCCTGCCTCTCGCTGTTGTCTTTGCCTTCGACCCCGGCCCTGCCCGGAGCAAAGTGGTCTTTGTCTCCTGACAGTGACCTCTCCCCGCGGTGTCATGTCGCCCTCCCTCGCCCTGTTTGTGCTCAAGGCCAGGTGGGGGTCTGATGGGGGCCACAGAGGCCGGTTCCGCTCCGGGAGCCACCCGGACAGGAGAGGCTTTGAAAACCTTGGCCTGCTTTTGGGTTTTATGATATATTTTTAAAAAGTGTGTGTTCCCTTGGTGCTTTAGTTCTGGGCCACGTTTTTAGCTTTATTTACACTCCTCCTGGGTGTGGTAAGGAGTGCCCGAGCGGTGCCCATGCGGGGCTGCATCCGGCCTCACCGCGGAGCCTTGGTTTGTGCAGGTCCCGCCGCGGGGGCAGGGCTGTCGGTCTGTCTGCCCAGCAGCTTTCTCCAGCTCACACACTCCTGAGGCGGCGGGCCTGACAGTGGCTGCCTCTGCCTTTCTCGTGATATTCAGCATTTTAAGAGGAAACGATGTCAGGGTAGGAATGTGTCCAGGTCATTTCCAGCGTGAGCACCATCAGGTAGAGGGTGCAGCTCCTGCTGCTTCAGGCGTGTGTGTGTTCCCTGAGAAATGACGGGAGCCGCTAAGACAGGCCCCGCGCGACCTGGGAAACCCCTCCTGCTCCTGCAGCCCCGGCACCTCCTGCGGCGGCTCTGAACCGCGCGAACCGATTCCCGGGGGAACGGGCTTTTGGGTGCTGCCCTCCTCGCGGGTGGTTCTGTCCTTCGTTCCTCGTTGGCAAAGTCAGTTTTTGCCTGGAGTCCACCCACACCCAAGCTCTGCCATGTGTTCCTAAGGGACCGGATGTGACCCTGCGGTGGTTCCTGCCTTATACCCTCTTCCCGCGGGGCGGGCGAGGGGCCGACACCGCCCTCCCTCCATGTACGTTTGCGCTTAGATTTCTGTGTGTCCTTCCCGGTGCTTTGGTCTGCGGCATCCGGTTGTGTTAGTGCACAGGTAGGGAAACCAGGTAGCGAACGAATACTGAAGGACTTCACAGGCGCAATTCGTGAATTAAACGAGGTTAGTAAGATTCCAGGGGGAAATTGCAAAACCGATAGTTTCTTTTATACACTCGCAGGTTCCAAATTGCTGTGAGGAAGACGAGGGAGGGTGTGCAGAGCCCACCAGGTGCGGGCGCCGGTCCCCCCCAGCCGCCCAGCCTCCTGCTCGCCGCGCCGCCTGGCTTTTCCCATTCCCGCCCCGCTTCCTTCCGGTGCCCTCAGCGTGTGCGTGAAGTCCGTTCCTTTCAGGCCCTGTCCCCGTCTCTTCCTCGGCTCCTGGAGGCCGAGAGGCTCGAAGAGGTCGGGCAGCTTCCTGGGTTCCTGTGTGAGGGTGCCGCAGGCTAGAGGCCACGCATGGGCTGTGCCCAGCAGGCTCTGCTGCTGCTGTGGCAGCTCCTGTGGACTGTCCCCCCCCAACCCGTCCCCAGCACCCCAGCCTGCCGTGGGCCTCTGAGCACTTCCCTGGACACGATCCGCTTCATGCAGCTGCTCGCTCACTGCTCTCGCCTCGCCTCGGGAGTGCAGGCGGGGCCTTGGCGCCGTGGCCGTTGTGCACACGAGGTCCTCCACGGAGGCTGTGCCAGGGAGTCATGTTCCCGCCCCGGAACCTGTGGGCACTTTGAAGAGAGCAGCGTTCGTTTCATTTCCTAAATGAATTCACATTTGAGAGAAAAATTGTCTTAGATTCTCCTTGACTCCTTCAGGACGTCCACTTAGAAAGCAGTTGGCCGGTTCCGGTCCCGGCCAGGCACACCCGGTTCCCGTCCCCATCGAGGCCTGTACAGAAGGCAGCCAAGGCGCACTTCTCCCTCCCACCCTCCCTCCCTTCCTTTCTCTGAGCCTGTCACTGGGGGAGGGTTCAAAAAAATCACACTTAGAAAAAAATAAATGAGAATGCACACACATGCAAATGTATGCCTAGTGCTTGTCAATGGCTTTTAAAGTCTCGGGTCTCTGAGCTGCGTCTGAAAACAGCACACTTTTTCCCTCCGCGGGTTTTATTTTATACCACGTTCGCTCTGTCCTCTGGTAGGAGATGGGAGAGATTTAGAAATGGGGCTTCCCCTGTACATTTCATCGCCGTAAACCTGCGCTTCTCAACCGCTTCCCTTCCTGCTTGCCTCAGGGCGTGTCCTCTGGCTGCTGACAGGTGTTCTAGAGGCTTCGCTCCTTCCCCTGGGCTAAGAGGATGAGGGCCAGGAGTCTGGATTCTGGGGCTGCTGTGTCCAGAGATTCGAGCGTTAGCATCACTCCTTCCCGAGAGCCGCGATGTCCTGTTTCCCACCCCGCACCGTCCGCCTCTGTCTCCATGTGACCCTGCGGGCCCAGTGCCCACCTGCCCCTCGCAGATGCCTTTTGGTGACATTTCTGACAGGCGGTCCTGGCACCTCCGGCTTCCTTCCCAGGTCGTCATCCGCACAGCCCCGGCCGCTAAGGAAGGCGGCGGTCTCGCTCCACGGGCCGCGGGCTCCAGGCGCCGGGCTCCTGGCGGATGGACTGCGGTCGGAGCCCCGTGTCCGCTCCCCCTGCGGGCAGCAGTCACGGCGGGGCCTGCATGGGGCCAGCGCGCTTCCAGGTCCCGTGCTGGGGCCTCACAGCGGCGCCTTCCGGGCCTTTCTGAGGGTGTACGTCCTCTGGGGCGTTGTTTTTATGATAAAACTCAATACACAGAGCGGGCAGAGGGAGGCTTACAGCGAGTCAGCGAAACTGAGTTGTTGTTTTTCAATATATTTATTGATTTTTTACAGAGAGGAAGAGGGATGGACAGAGAGTTAGAAACATCGATCAGCTGCCTCCTGCACACTCCCCACTGGGGATGTGCCCGCAGCCAAGGTACATGCCCTTGACCGGAACCGAACCTGGGACCCCTCAGTCCACAGGCCGACGCTATCCACTGAGCCAAACCGGTCAGGGCCAGAGTTTATTCTTGTGTTAATTATTGTCTTATTTTCTATACAAACAACTGTAACCCACCTTCGCCCACCGGCTCCTGGGGCCCGTGCGTGTGTCTTAACGCACCTTCTCCCGGCAGGTGCCCTGACCAAGGTGAAGGAGAGCCGGCGGCACGTGGAGGAGGGGAAGATGGAGGCGCAGAAGGCCGAGGGCATCCAGGCCCGCTGCAACACCATCTCCTTCGCCACGCTGGCCGAGATCCACCACTTCCACCAGGTCCGCGTGCGCGACTTCAAGTCCCAGATGCAGCACTTCCTGCAGCAGCAGATCGTATTTTTCCAGAAAGTGACGCAGAAGCTGGAGGAGGCCCTTCACAAGTACGACAGCGTCTAGTGCCGAGCGCGCGGGGCGCTCCAGTTCCAGGGTGATTCCCGCAGCGGAGCACAGACGGCTCAGAGCTGCCGCCGCTCCCGCGGGCACAGGCCGCTCTGTGCCTGAGCCGGGCTGGCTGTGTGCTGGCGCGGGTGTGCCGCATCGTAGCTAAGTGACACTATGTACGCCTACACTACCATGTCGCGGGGATACGATTATACTATTTGCCTTATTGCTTTCTGGAGGATGGGTCTTCAGTGCAGACTTGGCAGACCTCAGAGCCCCCGGGGTCTCGGGGAGCCCGGGCCAGCCTGCCCCATGCCTTTCCCGCCCACAGACTGGGGTCCCCGAAATTCAGCCTGTTCTCTGTTTACAAACTCCGACGAGAGCAGCTGTGCGACTTCGTGCCTTTAGACTCGGGTTTTCGTTTCCCCGCCCCCTTTATAAAGTAACACGACTTTTTGATCAAAAGAGCGAAAGGCCAGTGCGTCCAGGGACGGCCTGCTAGT